TTTTTATAGTCAATTAGATACCTTGTTTTTAGTGGTCCACAGTGGGGTTCTCTGGTCTTCTGTTCTGTCCCTAATTTATCTACCAAGCTATGGTTTAGGTGTACACTTTGTGGGATATGGTTTCCCCCCTTTGTTGGGCAAGGCTCACTCAACTAGATCAGTAAACGTCTTTTGAGTAGTTTTAAATTAAGCCTCTTTCTCAAGTGTGGGCTAGATGACAAGTCTGTTGGTAGGCGTGCCAGCACTCCCAAAAATAAGGATTGATTTTGGACATTCCAATGGTTGCTAAGTAAGTTCCTGTATCCCTTAATGGACAACGGAAACATTTTTTGATACTTACCTGTAATCTTTCTTTTGTTGAGTCTATCGAGGGATAAAGCTCCCTTCCATACTTTTATGACCACTACTCTTCTACAGCTTGCTACAAACCGAAGCATGCTGTATATGGGAGGGGTTATATAGTCTACAGGGTAAGTGCTGTCTTTCAGTTTTATTGCTTATGAATTAGTTCGCCTGAGGATGGCACCATATACCCAATGGTTACTGAATTAGTTCCTTTGCCCCTCAATGGACTCAAAGAAACAGGTTTTACAGGTAAGTATAAAAATTACATTTTACATCACAATTATGGCCCACTGGGTGGGGTTTTTATACAAGGCTGGAAAAAAATGGCATATAACTGTTCTCACTGTGATTGTTTCAGCAAAAAAGGGCAGAACCAAATTTGACCTGAAATTTTACCTAGGAGAATTGGCAAGTATGTCAAGTAGTTTCCTAGAATAAAACTGTAAAGAAAAAAAAATTGAAAAAACCTTTCGATCAGTTATATTGCTTGTTGTTTGCTTCAGTAGTAAGAGACTTGATAAATGAACCAATAACTCCAAGAAGATTATTGGGTAAAATAAGCAAGAAGTGACCACTAGTAAATACACAAAGTACACAAGTGTGTTTATTACATCTTGCAAGCACTTGGTCTACATTTCAAAAACGCCACCATGAAGCTGTTGGCACATTTATGTACAAAACAGATTAATTATAATGCCTGCTACAAAGCAATCTTCGTGAAAATACAAACTCTAAATACCAGAGGAAAGCCAAAAAGCATCAACGTTATTACACTGATCCATAGGACATTGGTTTAAAAATCACAAACTGTTTGATACACAAAACCGGAACACTACAATATAGAATTTGAAAGACGTTTAGAAGAATAGTTCGAAAATATTTTAATACTGCACAAATTTGAGAATTGTGAAAATAAAAATAGCTAACACTACTAAATGTTTAAGCATGCAACAAATAACTATATTAATATAATGCTTAGGAAATCTCATTACAAAACAAAATCTGCATAACAAATGCAAAATATTAGACTGTAATGTGTCTTGGGGAAAAAAAAATTCTAATTAATTATATGAGAGAAATGTTTGCTTTTTATACAAGACTATAATCCAACACAGAGTAAGCGGTTATAATTTCTCAGTAAAATTGTTTAAAAGTGTTGTTAAAATCATCCTGAAATGAAAATCAAGAATACAATAAATAATAAAGCAATTAAATCAATTTACGGACACTAAGTGCTATTTCATATGTCTTTCTTCTGTCTTTATTGTTCAAAAGCCAATAATTGTTGTCTTGTATGCCCAACATTTCTAAATAAAATTCTGAAGCAAAATAGATCCCTCTACATACACTCTAACTCTATTTAAAAAGTCCTAGTCCAAAACAGATATATCCATTCTACAGATCAAGGCCTAACATTTTAGCTGCCAAAACTAAGTTGAGAAATGTTGGCAAATATGCATGTCCCATTAAAAAAATGACTTTAGTTATATTGAGGTCTAACCCATATTTGAAATAGAATTCAACTTTACAAGTAAAGAGAAACCCTTCACATTAAACTAGGCTTGTATTAGGGGGAAATAAAATCACTCACATGGAGGGACCTCTAGGCAGTTCCATGCCAGTAATCATGTCAATGATATAAGGCTGGTTTAAAGTGCAGTGGTGTTCTTCGCCTGTATACTTGTTCTTTGCTTATGGCAGCTTTATAACCTTGTAAAGGACCTACAGGTAGTATGAACTCTATAGCAAGTATTTCTTTCCTCACACAAACATACACAACTTACTGGTATACCAGGAACAAGTGACCTCTATTAGGCATGACGCTGATAAACAGCAGAATAAAGTTTACTATACACCAGCTAAACCCTACTGTGGGAAAACCCAAAAGGTAACTGAAGCATCCAACTTGCAACAGGGACACTAGAAAAGCTGATGTAATGATGATTTCAATGACTGATTTAGTCACTGTTACAACTTGATCTAGTATTCCTGTCATCAGCATCCAACTATTAGTATTCAGTTGGCTGTGAGAATCATTTTCTCCCTTTTCATCCTGGTCAATAAAATAGATCTGAATTTGTCTAATCTGCTACTGTATATTAATCAACCTATACACTGGAATGTATAAAATGAACCTTCTGAAAGTGCAGTAGGTCAAATTACAATAATAATGACAGCATCTGACTTATCATCAGGAATAATGAATTAATGTCTGGGTCAGATACTTGTGGCTGGTGTTCACAATTGCAATCTCTTCTACACGGTTTAGTCATTGTGATCATGTCAGACAGCCCCCAGATCCCTCTAAGTAGAGACATTTAGAAATCCTAACCTTTTACATTCTATTTCTAACTACTGACCTGGTGCCCCTTCAGTTGTATTCAGAAATAGCAGCACATCCTACCTGATATGCTGGAGCAAACATGGGCACTATAAAATCAGCACAGATGGTGCTTTATGCCAATGTAAACAATGGGAATGAGTGTAAATATCCTGCTTCTGAGGGAGGAGTAGGGATAGGGAACAACATTCATTGTGTTAGATGATGCCTATGGTCCTTTTCCTGAAAAATGAAATGTTCACATGGAAAACTCCTATGTTGGCTAGATGAGTGTTTGCATAAACGCCAAAAACTGCAATTTACAGTCTACTATAATACGCTTTTTTTCAGATTCGTGAATCTCTATCATGCTTAGCTTGTTGTGAATTCTGCCTTAAGTACTGAGAGTAAAAAGGCACAATTTTAGGAGTTTATGGTTTCCCAAAATGGAAGGCAGGATAAAAAAGCCAGGATCGACCTTTTATTAAAAAAAAACCTACATTGAAAAATGTGTTTAGCTAGTTAAAACAGAACTGCAAGAAAACCATCAAATACCCAGTTGAAATACATACTTGAACTGCTTTATCTGGCAATGAATTTATAACTCTATTCAGACAGTCTTTTGATTCACATACCTTTATCACACTGTATTGTAATGAAAATTACTTAATTATTTCCTGATTACCGTTACAGTTTCCTATGCCATTTGGCTGCTCATTGTGCAATGAATCAGCCAATGTATGATGATACTTATTCTTTTTCTAAATGATACTGATTCTTTTTCTAATGAGCCTAAACCAGGAGGTAGGGTTATTGCTTTCATGGTAACCCAATGTGGCAGAGGTGTGTGACTCACAAGTTTTGCTCAACATAATTATAAATTAATTATTTGGTATTAAATCAGGTAAGATACAGTATATGTATTTCAAATTTGCATGAAGATGTTCACCTAAAGTAAAACTTTAAAAAAGCTTAAACAAGGGCCGGTAAACTAAAACATAAACATTGACTTAAATACAGGCTACTACTAATAACATTTACAAAGATATATATATATAGTAACCAGACCTTGGCCCAACCTCACCTAATGTGTCCATTTATATTTGTCATGCAGGTGGGGAGAGATATTGTCTTATGCCATCAGTCCGAATAAAGAAAGAAATATAGCTACAGTTTACAGTAATTTTTCTAACAAGAGGCTGGTAGGTGTAAAAAATGACTCCTACAACTCATCTTCCATCGGCTGGTCCTAATGAGGGTCACTAAAGGAGGAGGACTGAGCCCACTATCCCACTTTTCTTTTTCTTTCCTTTTTTTCAGTAAGAGTCCAAGGCAATTCCTCATTGAAATATAATCGCTCTAGAATTTCTAGCCAACCTCCCAGGGCTCTCATTCTTAGACATGGCTGGACTTTAAAAAGGACTTTCTTAAAATATGTTCAAACCACCTAAGCCAGACATTCTCGTTTTTAGAAAATTGTCAGCTCTCTTTTGTGGATATTCTTTTAAGTATGGACACTGCCTGTTCTCCTAAATAGTAAGATCTGCAGCACTGCAGAGAAGCTTCATTTGTAGGTGTCAAAACCTGGTTCTTTCAGCTTTTATCCACAGATAAAAAAAAATGATGAACATAAGAATATAGATTAAATGATACATCACATGCCTTCTCCAGAAATGTATGTCTAATCCCTGTATATCCATACTGTTGGATATACAGGGATTAGCTGTTAATATATATGTCTAAAAATTACAAGTAGCTCTCATATAAAAGCCAATTTGACTTTAGATTCATGGGCCCTTAAATGGGTTCTTTACTCCCTCAAAACTGTTTTTTTTTCCTTCAACTTTATAGCTACATAGAAAATGTGAATATGTAGTAGAGCTGCTGAGAAACATATAGGTATACTGTCATGCAATTATTTTTCCCCAGATGTGTAGCTGTTTGCGTCCTAAAACACTCTGTAGAAGATGAATATTTTTGTAAGTAGAGTGAAGAGTACATTAAAACCTGTGAAGAAGTTGGTCCATTAACAGAGGATAATGCGCCAATAGGGTCACTTGAAAGAGGTAAATGTTCCATGTATTATGTAACAACCCATAGTCAAAAAATTTAATTTACTAAGATTGAAACAACAACTACATTATTAAATTCAACTATTGTTGCAAGCAGAATCAACAAAAGGAAGTTAAGGAAAGAATGGGCAAATGAAAACAAGCGCCTAAGATAATGATGGCCAATTAACCCCAAGAACTCGTTAAATGAATGATGCACTTACACTGAGCACTCACATAGTTGATCAATAAAGTGCACAAAACAATGTTCATTTTTTTTTTTTAAACCACTGACTTTTTTGCCAGAAATGTTATATTTAATAGATACTTCACAGCATTCCTATAGAAAGATGGAAAGAAAGTTTGGTCCAGTAACACTGTAAAACTTTAAAAACCTTCATCATATGTACGTTGGTTTGCTGGGATGATTTCAAAGTAGAACTACAAACACAGGTCCACAACTGGATAAGATGGAATTTTTACATACCCAAGAACATGATATACATATGTTATTTCACAGCTGAAGAAACTTCAGAAAGTTTGAAAATATTTCACCAAACATTAAGCGTGGCTTATAGCATGACATATTTATTTTACAAGAGATATAAAAAAAAAACTAGAAACAAATAGCTAATGACTGTATACTATTTTTTTCAGTTTTCTCTTGATTAAAAATCACTTATGGGTTGAGATAAATGTTTTAGAGGCATATATTATATGGGGCGTGCCCATGCACTAGTATCACGCTATGCATGCTCACAATTTTAAACAGATGTCACTGTAGTTGCCAGAAGTTTTAAACTGATGTTGTAATAGTGAACATTAATACTACATAACACCAATAAAGAAGCACCTTGAATCTGCTAAACAAAAGTGATACCTATGTGGCTACTCATAGGGCCAACAGACTACATTACTAAAGAAGCCCATGCATGATTTAGAACTCAGAACTGTAAGCAGATTATTGTACATGCTTTCTGTACAACGGTCCCTTTGAGGTTTACCTGTAGGTAAAAGTAGTTTTTGAAACTCAAAACTAAAAAGTATAAAAAGCTTTCTCTTCAAAAACATAGGAAACGATGCAAAATGTTTTATGCAAAACACATATAAAGTGGTTAAAAAAGGAAACGGACGTCTTTATTCAACAGTTAATTTTTTTGTCATCTAAGAAACCAGTCACCTTTATGACTATTTGGGAAAGACTATTAGGGTGTTCCATATTATATGACATTTTCACACAGACCACTGTGAAGATGCAAAGTGCTGGTCAATCAAGGTTATGGAGATAGGTGACACTCACCTATCGTTTAGGAAAAGCACTTCATTTTCATTTTATAATGGAAGGGAGGCTGTTAGTTGAAACAACAAAGAACTGAAATGTTACAAATGAAGGAGTTTAGTTTTATGTGTAAGCATTGAGCCGCTCTTTAGAACGGGTGGAGTGAATGTCGTGAAGTTCCTGCTCTTCCTTGGATTTGATGTCTTCATATTTTTGCATTCGGCAGGCGTCTTTCACGTAGGCCCAGTTGGCGGACAGCACCATTAGGTAATGGACCTTTGAAAAAAACCAAACACAAGGTAAACTTAATGTTATGATTATTCAATGAACTGTGCAAGGAGCAACGCACTTAGGTATTTATGTAAGTTATGTATGAAAAGTATGATAAAAAAGAACATTTCTTGGTGCCTAGAGCAGCCAACCAAAATCTTAGTTCCATTTTCCAACCTTGGACTGTTAAAAATGAAAGATCACAGCTGATATGCTTGCCATGAGCAACACAAATTTTTCTTTTCAGGCATCCTTTTATACATACGTCCTAAGACGTATGTATAAAAGGTCTTCAGTAACCTATAGGAATTAATTTACTGTAGCCACACACATACAAGACTGATTGTATGTGCAGAGCGAGTCGCACATGTGAGGAGCTCCAGATAATCGGGACTATCAAATCAGCGTTTTAAATCGGCCAGAGCTGCCACCGAGCTATTATACAGGACGTGGTTTGCTGCCTCATCTACTTTCTCCAGATGGATAAGTTTGTTGACCGCTCCCAAGGTCCACTACGATCGGAATTTCGGACCGGGAAAAATGGTGTACAAAACCTAACTGAAGCCAGTTAGGCCTCTCAACCAGTCTCTCCGACGGACTTAGATGCCGAATCGTTCTCGGACCCTGAACCATCCATTGATTCTGCTAAGATTGCTGCAGCAGTGGCCAGACTGTTGAAGCCCACTATACAGGCTTCAATACAGGCAGCAGTGGATTCGGCGGTCACTAAAGGCATACAGTCCCTACGCCATGATCTCCAGGCACAGGCACATCGAGTCACGAAGGCGGAAGGCAGGGTTTCGCTCCTGGAGGCTGAATTGGCGGCTGCCAATTCTTGTATTCAAGACCTTACCAAACAACAACTCACGACCTCCACTACGTTGGAGGATCTAGAAAATCGTTCCAGGAGGAATAACCTGCGTATAGTAGGCCTGCCTGAATCCTACCAACCAATAGATCTGCCAAGCTTATGTTCTCACCTCCTTCCATATATATTGGGACTTACCCATGATTGCATCGTTGAGAGAGTGCATCGCCTGGGCTCGCAGCAGCAAAAATACTCTCACCCTCACTCAGTGATCATGAAATATCTGTCATATGTCGATAAAACAGATATCCTCAAAGCATATCGTTCTGCTACAAATTTCCATCTAAACGGCCATAACATCTTGCTTTTCGCTGACTATTCAGCAGAAGTAAGCCGCAAGAGGAAGGCTTTCTCCGAGATATGCAAAATCCTACACCAACGGAAAGTACATTTCTCCTTGACATACCCGGCGGTTCTCAACATACAGTCCTCGGAGGGGACTCATCACACCTTTGCAACACCGCAAGACGCCCTTACATTTCTCGAACCCTCCAACTCAACAAGCCTTGATCAACGCGCTCACTCTGGAAGCCACAGTCATCCTTGTTGTCATCCACATGTTGTTGAGGTAGGATCCTCCCCACCTCCTACCTCAACAACATGTGAACCCCCCTGAATCTGCGAGTCGACAATCACTTTGGCTTCTGCTATTTTCCCGCTACCAAATGCGGTTCTTCTAATTGATGGTATCACATGTTCAACTTTCAAGATGTTTTCCTTTCATTTTTCTGTCGTTCTTTTTGTTAGCATACCCGCTGTTTGGCACAACATGTCTGCCCTATTTGGCATTCACCTTATCACATTGGTGAAATTGATCGTGGACACCATCACGTAACTATCCTCTAAGCTTCTGTTTTTGATTTTTCGTGTTACCTCATTGCTCTGGCCCCATCAGCTCCCCATCTTTCTAGTCCCATACACAGTAGTGTTTTCATTGCGGACTTGAGCTGTAGGAAAAAAGGGAGTGCCATGACAAATTTTTTTTTTCATATGTTTTTTAGTCCGTCTGGCGGATCCACTCTGTTCCTGGACTTTTTGTCCAGGAGGATGGTTATTTGTGTTTGACTGTTTTTTATTTTTTATTTTGCCATTTTTACTCATGTCAATGCTATCTGATTTCTCATATTCATGGAAACCATATGCCTATCTTACACACTGCTTTAGATGTTCTCTGCCTCTGATCTTAATTACCATGTTAGCTTATTTTAGCCTAGGAATTGTGTTGGACTTCTCTCCCCCTTTCGCTTTTTGGTAGGAGTCATGTTATCAAAATGCTGATTTTCCCTAAATTGCTCTACCCCCTTCAGACTATCCCATTACTACTTAAGCACACTGATGTTCAACTTCTAGAACAAGCATTTGCCAGGTTCTTGTGGAAATTTAAACGCCCCCGTATTTCATATTCTCAATTACAAGTCCACAAACCCTAACATTCGGTCATACAATCTGGCATGCCTTCTACATAATGCATATGACTGGCTACTAGGTACATCTTGCTATTCCAAAATTACTGTAGAAACCGAAATGGTGTCCCCTGGATTGGCCATTGGTGGCCCTACTCCACACTCGTATCAATAAGTTACCGCCTCCATTACGCACTAACTCTTTGATCAGGGATACAGTGGTTGCGTGGAGAGAATGCAGATTAAAAACAGGATTACATCCATTTCCCCCAGGGTTCAAACAGCAAAGTATTTGGCACCTGGGCAGCTAGGGGTCTACTCACGGTGGCTCAACTAATTGACCCAAAAACCCATCGACCTCTTTCATTCCCAGAACTGCAGCGAAATTTGACCTACCATCCCACCACTACTTTCAATATCTCCAATTGACCCACTATTGGCGTAGCGAGACAAAAATACCCAGCACTTTTTTTCCTACTACAGCACTGGATAAAATGTCCACTTCGGCACCCGGATCCATCTCTAAATGATATCCCCTTTTAACCTCCTGCCGTCCGCCCGTAAAAAAAAAAAACACTGATTGGTTGTATGGGGTCATTTGATCTGCCGCCCCCCCTGACCCCCCCCCCGCGTGAGTGCCATCGCTCCTGACCCCTCACCTTCAATCGCCGGGATCCGCTAGCCCATCTGCGGCCCGGGACCGACTCAGGAGGGGGTCAGGAGCAAGATGGGAGGGAGATCAGCATATTCCTCCTTGCTGATCTCCCTCCGTACTGTGAATGCAGAAGAGATGTGTATTACATCACTTCCGCATTCACCTGTCAGTCATCTGGGTGCTATAGCCAAAGAAAAGAAGCTGATGAAGCAGATCTCTGTCCTAGAGATCCCTAATGTCTCCATAAAAAGGACCTGTCAGTGTGCCTTTGCTATTATATAGGGGGATTGTTATCCCCCTATGTAATAGCAATAACAATGAGTGTAAAAAAAAAAAATATAAATAAAAAAAAGTTAAAATAAAATAAAAGTCAAAAAAGTCACATTAAAAAAAAAACAACATTTTTAAGTCCCCCACCCCCACGTTTACGCACATATGAACGTAAATATGCGTTAGATGCGTCAGTGCGCGAAAACGACAATTGCACTACACATGTTACATATGGCCGCAAACGTCGGAGAGCAATCATTTTAGGGCCATCAATCACTGATAACACAAAACTGATGAGCGGTAAAAGCTTTTAAAGCGTCGCCTATGGCCAATTTTGGGTATTGTAGTTTTTTGAGGTTTCGTGCATGCGTGCAATTTTAAGGCTTGACATGTTTGGTGTCTTTTTACCCGACGTGACCCCGTCTCTTATATTTTACCCAAAAAAATGGGTAATAATAAATGTTTTATAATTGAATATAGGGGAAACCGTGTTTTTTTAATTTTCGGTCATTTTTGCTTAATATAGTAAAAAATAAAAACCGCAGTGGTGATTAAATACCACCAAAAGAAAGCTCTATCTGTCCCTAAAAAATGGTCTAACATTTGTTTCAGTACAGCGTTGCATGATGGAATAAATGTCAATCAAAGTACCGCAGTTTTGAATACTGAAAAATGGCCTGGATGGGAAGTGGGTGTAAACGCAGCAGACTTCAAGTGGTTAAACTCTTATTTCATCCCTAAACCAGCTAGGACTTCCCTTTTTAAATGGAGGGAAGATTTTCCGCTCGAGGATTTTGAAGGTGCTATCCTTGAGGGAGTCCAAAATATTAGGAGGTGCACACCAAATGAACAATGGAGAGAAACTCACTTCAGGATAGTCCATAAAGCATACTATGCTTTTGATTTCTTTTATAAAATAAAAGCCCCAAGTCCATACTTAACAGCGTGCCCCAAATGCTCCCTGGAGGGGGCTTCTCTCAGACATTGCCTCTGGGATTGCCCTCATATTGTCACTTTCTGGGACTCAGTACTCTCTTACATGTCCAATATACAGGGACTCCCTTTAATCCGTGAACCCTGGCTTTGTCTTTTTAGTTACTGGAACCCTCTATCCACACTTAGTAGAATGCAACAGGCATGGATCTACGTAGCTCTGTTACTAGCCAAACGTATTATTATGCATCATTGGCTTTCCACGCAACCACCATCCTCCCAACATTTTATAGCGGCACTGACATCACTGATGTGGAAGGAGAGGCTCGAAGCCACTCTAGACCCTGACCGTTACACCACAAACTTCTTTATGAAATGGGAATCTTTCATAGTACATCATTATACAGGGGTAGAGCTGTATGCTCTAATTTATCCATTCAAACTCACAAAATGGTACCTAGAGAAGATGCTAGACAAAACCCTGGGGCAAATGGAACTACCGGAGGATTATACTACTGGATAGCTATTACATTGATAGGCATTGTCATCATATGGATGTGTGCTGGTAGAAAGATGTCAGAACATAGAGTATTAGTGTAAGATCACCTTGATTTCAACTATTCAACATGTCATTTTTATTTCTTTTTATTTGCATGTGACATGAATATGTGATTTCCTTTTTGTACTTCATACATATGCTGTTTTATTGAAAATTAATAAAATGTTTAAAAAAAAAACTAACATTGTGTCCCTTGCTGAGTACAAGCATAAAAGCCGATTGTTGATTTATTCACTGTTATCAATTACTGAACAAGGCTGAAATGGCTAACACTAGCAATCTACTTGAGAGGGTAGAGGTACTTTGGAAATCAGTTGG